AGCATTCTGTGCCCTTTGAAAATATTATGAAAGTTACTGCACAGATGGGCTGAAAGTTTAATTACCTCTAAAGAAGAGTGTCAGAGTCATCATTGCTCTTGCAACAACTGGAAATTTAGCAACCAAAATATCCATCAGGAAATTACTCTGAGACGATATATCAAATACACGGAAGAAACAGCTGCCATTCCATTTATGTCACCCAGACAGGATCATTGCAGGAATTGGAATAGCTGGAGATGCCACATTGGCTTTTTCTTAATTTGACATTTTCTAGGCATTTTGCAAATGTGCCAGGCTGAGAGAAATGTATGAGAGAAGAGTAACATGCACCAAACAAAACAGCACAGATTCAGTGTGAGGTATTTTTGGTGTGTATTTTTGTCTAAAAGTCTATGGTTCTACTGCAAGATGTGGAATTGTATTTGGGGCACATTTTTATTCTAGAGATAGGACAATAAATATTAGCTATCTAGAATTACCAAGATTTCTTCAACTGAAAATATTATGCTGTTTAGGTTTTTATAAATAATCTCAAGTAATGGCATGTACCCTTATAGATCATCATAAAGAATGATATGGAACTCTATTTCAGCATCCAAGTTGTATGGCACGATACAGAAAACTGAGAACAAATTACACAACATGGATTAATTTTTCACACTAAATATTCATTCCTCTTTATCCCAGGATAGTAAGTGTCTTTTTAAAAAGCATAGTTTAAAACTTCTCTTAAAGCAATTTACAATAGGTAGAACAGCCCACTGTGGCATCTTGCTCTTTTCTATTTCTGGCAAGATTCTGGCTGGAATTGTTTGAGCTGACTTATTATTACAGATAATGGTCAACTATATATTTGAGAAAGCCCAATATGGTCAAAAACCATAGAAGAGATATGTGCACATCTATATTTGGCAGAGTGCGTTTTTAATGTACAGGAAACAATACTTTGTATTCTGGAAAGTATTAAGAAACCTGGGACATTATAAAGAGATGTGTATTGTTGATACTGTCAATTTCCGAGAATCATTACAATTTGTAGTTACTGAAATACACTATTTCCCAACTGCATTAATGATTCTTCGTTTTTACCTGCCAGACATGCATTTAAAGTAAGCCCAATCTTACCTGTGGTCTTGGGAAAAAATAGCACACCTGAGAACACAATCACACGTGGAATGGTAGCTAATAAGTTATTAGTACTTTCCTGTAAGTTAGGCACCTATGTGAGGCCTTATTTTCAAGAAGTTTCCACAACTTGATACTCGAGAGAACATGCATAAAATCATGAGCCACTTTCCAAGGCAATTAAAGATCTTGAAAGTGTTAAAATGATGAATTTATTGCAATAATTACTTTGTTTTAAACCTTTAGAATGATAGGATGGAATCTTATCCCAATGGGTCAAGAGACTTAAGAGTGTAGAGGGCCATTCCTTCGATCAATGAACTTGCATTAGGGATTTATAAGAAAGTCGATATATTAAACATTTAGATCCAAGAGTAGCAAGTGAGTAGAGGAAGGATGCTAAAAAGATACTGACTTTAAAAATGTCAATTAAATGAAGAATACAGACATATAATCAATGGGCATCTTGTAAGACCTGGCATCCCCTTTATCGTGTGACCTCAGGGCCTACCACTGACTTTTTGGCTCACTTCACTCCATGACTCTGGCCTGCTTTTCTTCCAATACGCAAAAGGTACTCCTGCCTCAAACCTCTGGACATGCTGATCTCTGCCTGAATCACTTTGTCCAGTTCTCTACACACTAACTTTCTTCCACTTTCTTCAGTTTTTCACTCCAAATCACCTTCTCAAAGATATCATCCCCTAACCAACGCATCTAAATGTCTCCTGCCCATTTGAACCCCTGACAACTTACTACCTGCTTCTCTTTGTTTATTTTGTGTTATTCTTATCACGTAGTATCTAATATACTGCAATCTGTACATGGGTTTACTCATTTGAGATTTTGCCTTTTTTCCTCATTAGGTTATAAATTTCTTGAGAGCAAACATTTTTTTTTTTTGCTTGTGTTGTTTGCAATATATTAGACTCAGATTGACATCTGCTATATGTAAACAATGAATGAACTGAGTATAAAACCAAGTTATTGAATAGTGGGCCAAAAAAATTTGATAAAAATATTTTAACTTTATCAAAATAATAAAATAATGAAGAATATCAAAAAAATGTTTCTTTTTAGCTTTTGAATAATATTATTCTGTAAGGTAGAAATTTAATGAAGTTGTCTTACACACACAAACACATTTTGTACTATTTTGCGATAGTGGTGTAAATATTCTCAATAATATAAAGAAGAAAAAAGAAGCATACATGTCTGGAAAGGAAAGAAGTAAAAGAGCTGGCCTTTGATCTATTTCTACCCTGGCTACTGGTAAGATATCCCAAGGAAAAGAAAAACAAGTCATATGACATCCCTGTCAGCACACTGGTAAATGGACTTTCTTACGAAAGCTAATGCTATTTTCTAGGAAGAGAGCTTGTACATGTGAAATGTGCTTAGCATGATGTCGCGGTTTAGAATTACTTATCATAACTTGGCCTGGACTGTGTGGATCTATGACTTACAGCTCCTAGACAATGTTTCATAAACTAGACAATATTTCAGGTTATATAATTAGCAGTAATACAGACACTCACAGTTACGTGAGTGACTGCAGCCTTCACCTAGAGATGTCTCTTTCTTATATTAAAGAGAAAATGTTAGATGATGAAAAGAAGAACCTGGAGAAACTAAAGTAATGTCCCCAATGCTGGTGCTTCCTTCGGACTTCTTGTTCACTACTATCTCTGAAATGATTAAGAATGTCTGACAGCTAAATATCTATAGAGGGCCATACTAGTGCATTGTTCAAAAGGACTTCTCAAGTATAAAAAGCTGGAAATTACAAGGCCTTGTGTTCAGGTTTGCTACTTAGTAAGAGAGCTTGAAGACTTCATCCAACTTCTCTCAGCCTAGGACTCTATTTGTAAGGGGAAAATAATACTTCAAATGTTTGAGACAAGACATAAATAAGGCAGTGTATGACATGTCAATCGCTATGTTAATAATGCACATACATTGTATAGGACTAAAAAATAAACATGCCAGAGAAGTTCTTTCCTATTTCGAGCCCTTTATGATTGTCTGTCAGAATAGCTGCTGGACAAGTCTGATTCATGATTAAAACAGGGTTAGACCTAGCTGCTGTGATAACAATTTCTTCATGACAATTTGGAGATAAAGGTATATTTGTTAATCATCAACTCTACATCTGGCAATGAGCTCAGTGGTTTTCATAGTCCATTTCATCTGATCCCCAGAGTCACTTTCTGATATACTGCAATCCTCACTTTACAGAGGAGAAAATAGAGGCTCAAAGCAGTGACATAATAGAAGTAGGGGATTTATATTTTCTATTCATTCCTGTCCTCCGTGCTAAACCAAATATCTTAAGTGTATTAATTATATTTAATGCACTCAATAAGTAAATCTTAAGAACTTCTTTGTGGTAAGACAAAAACCAGTCAATCCATAGGAAGCTGGAAACTGAAGAAAGACAGCTGTAGAGGTTCATCACTACAACAGGCCCAACTCCTAAATGGCATGATTGATTCTAAGTTAGAATCTGGGGAATGTTTCAAAGTAAAGCAAACCCACAAATAACAGCACTAGCAAGTATCAGTTCAACTCAAACAGAAAATGTCAGTATTTCTCAATTTCTAAAGGGAATAAGACTGCTCAAGACATTTTCCTATGCACAGAAAGATTTTGCTGGTGTTTAATATAAAGCATAAACAAAACATTATACACTTAGATACCTTAAGCCATATATAATGTATACCCCAAAATGTAAACAATAAAATAAAAATAAAGCATAACTTCGACCATCTTATTTCTAATTTAATAATGTGGGAAGAGGGACCAGCAGGTGGCGTAGTGGTTAAAGGCACTGGACTCCAACATGGTCAACCACAGTTCAAGTCCCAGATCTGGAGGCTTGAAACTCATGCCAGAGATGTGTGCTTGTATGCCCCAAATCCCAAGGAGAATGGAGGAGAAGGAATTGTGGTGTGGTTATCCCCCTGGGGGAGACATTTTGTCTCTCTGTTTCTCTGATGTGCATGCATCCTGTAGCAAAAAACTCTCTAAATATTAATAATAATAATAATAATAATACTGTAGAAAGGTTTTAAATTTCTGCACACTTTTGCTGTATCTTTATTTCAAATTGTTTAGTAATACTAAAAGGCATTTTTTTTCTTAAAAACCCCAGAGAGTAAAATTATGTTGCATTTCCAAATGATAAAGAACAATGATAAATGACACCTGTGGTTAGCCCGCCTTCTTTTGCTTTTTCTTACAGTATTAACAATTTAAATGTTCTTCTTTAAAGGTTTACATTCAATGAAATACAGTTTTAAGAAAAATCCATTCTAAGTGGACCTCGCAAGAGTTCACCTTCTTGAAACGATCTATTCTGTAGTCACATAGCAACTTAGACAGCAACTTTTTGGCTTAAATATTGTCAGTGAGAGGAGAAAAAAAAAAAATGTCTTGAACAAATGTCTCTCCTCAAAAAGGAGAAAGTGACATTGCCAGTGAATAGAGGTGCTGCCGCTTATCTGTGCTTAATAACCTCTCTCACTGGCACCCATTCAGCTGCCACTTAGCACAAAGACAAGTCTGCATGTCATTTAACAGGTCTGCATTAATACACCTAACCAATCAATGGCGTCTACCCATTCCACAAGGACACCAGTCTGTTACCATTACTAGACACTGTCAACAGAAAATGACACCAGAGTCACAAAAGGCAAAATGATGTCAGTTTAATCAGAGAGCAGACGAAAAGGCAAACAAGGCTACCCAGGACACAAGTGTAACAAGGAGACTCAGAGGTTGGCATAAGCCACTCTTGGCAGGTCCCAGTGAAACCGGTTTGAAATTCAATGATATAAAATCCAATAGAACAACATAGACAATCAGAACTGTTTTTCCCCCATTCAATTAAAATTGGTGACTGCAGCTGGCAGAAGAAAAATCTGTGAAAAAAAAAAAATAGCGAGAAGGTACAACTTGAATAGATTTTAAAGAAAATCGAACTAATTTTTCATTCTCAGAAAAGCACCAGCAAGCTAAATAATATTATTTTAAAATTATTTAATCAGTGCTTTTTTTCCTATGAAAATTAAATAGACATTTTAAAAAATCTTATTATATTAAGCTGATAGCTTTCAATTGGTATATGTATACCCTGACAAGATAGCTGTCCACATTATGTAGTGATAATAATGATGGATTTGTACAATTATGGATGTGGAATAGGCCTCCGAGATTATCTGGCCCAACCTGCTCATTTTACAGATGAGAGAACTGAATCTAAGAATGAGCGAAATGCCCCGGAGCACAATGGCAAAGCCAAGGTTCCTGGCTCTCAGTCCAGCTCTTTTCTAAAACACTGTTTAAGATGCATGTTTTGCAGAAATAAGGCAACATCTATCTAAAAAGGAGACAGCATTTCATTAATTTTCCATATGCATGTAATGTGTCTTATGGCAAACCATTGAAAAGGGAATTAGTCTAATTAAGTTCCTTCCAATAGAACATTTATAAACAGTGAAGTATCGTTTTACTGACCCTGGAAACCTTGTAAGACTCATTCACTTTCCTCGGAATGTTTGAGGTCACGCCGTGTCTTTAAAATACTCCGGAGATAAGCGTAATGACTAGAACAAATATCGAGCTGAGAGCAACAAATACTTTGGCAAAATGTCAGTGATGCCATATTCTATCCCCCCACTAATCGGAGTTTTTTGGCTGAGTTATCCAGTTTCACAGGGTTCAACATTCTGGATGGACCTCTGACATTGTTATCAGTTCCTCTTTGTGTAGAATCCAAGGCTGACTGCACTGCCCACTTGAGATACCCTTTTCAGCCAAGTCTAGCTCTATCTTTCTCCAACCCAATTTCCCTCAGCTCAGTTTCTGCTAAGTCCTGTGTCTCTGGGATGAGTTATACATATGGAAGGCCAGGTGGATAGGCCCGTTTCCCCGGACACATTCCAGAAAGCTCCCTGCCTTGAGCTGACAGTTTTTTTCTAGTAGCTAAAATTGAAATTTGGTTTCAAAGCTGACTCTTCCTTTATTGTCAAAAGAAGTCTATCTCAACTTTTAAAAATCCATGAATATATAAGAAATAACTCAAGGAGCCACTGCCTTTGCTTCTGATAAATGATACCAGCATTTAAGTCACATTTGTGACACAAATTAAGAATCAATGTTATTATTTCCCATGAAGAAAGTGCACGGTCTTGAAATCTGGAATTCTGTTACATAAATATATGTTTCTGCATTTCAAAATTATGAAATATTGAATATGCATATCCAAACCACACATACATTCCCCCTATATTCTTATATGGGTTGCTTTCATTTCCTTCTTCCTGTAACTATTACTGCTTTGATGGGAACTGTTTATAGTCTGCAGTACACTGCACTGTTTATATTCCACTAGTGCTAGAACCTCTTTATTATTCATCAATTTTTCTGTCTTTTTCTACACACACACACACAGAGCGAGAGAGAGAGAGAGGAAATTGTAATAATCATGCTAATTATTGTAAGAGATGTTACAGAAAAAAAGAAATGATTTTTTTACTATATAGGAAAATTTTTAACATTTCAAAAAATGTAGAAATAAAAAAGTGTATTGTCAAAGAGTCAAACTACAGAAAGTTTCATTAAGTAAAACATTTATCAGTAAATAGTTAAGCCATAAAATTGTAACTTTTCCAATATATAACATAATAGGATTAGAGTTGAAGAGTGGGGGTCTAAAATCAGAATGACTAGGTTCAAAACCTGGTTCCATTATTATTATTAAGACAGAGTCTTGCTATAGGACTCATGGGCTTGCCAGAGAGACAGAAAGTGAGAAATCACTCTCAGGAGGGATAGCCATGCCACAATCTCTTCTCCATTCTCCTCTTGGGATTTGGGGCACACACATACATGCACCTAGCATGAATTTTAAGCTGCCAGGTCTGGGACTCTAATCGCAGTTAACTACATGGGAGTACAATGACATAACCATTATGCCATCTGTTGGTCACCTGGTTCTATTATTAACTGCTATGAACAAATAGCTTATTTTTTTTCTTGTCTTCAAATCTATAAAATTAAGACAATAAAAATATCTCCCTTATAGGGTTTTAAAAAAAATTAGGAAATATTTTAGTATACGACTTTAGTTTTTCATTGCATACGTTTGTTAAAAAGAGTAAATGAGACAGATTCATCAAGCATTTGGAACCATGCCTAGCATCCACTATGGGTTAGCATTATAATTATATTAAGTAGTGATACTCTCTAGCCTTTGACTTTTTAAAAATTTACTTATTTTTCAAATTTGCATTTAATCACTGTATATCTTTACAGTGTACAATATTGTTTTTTCCAGCATGAATATGGTGCATATCAGTCAAGACAAAGACATTACCATAAACATTATCATCAGCCAATAATTTTTCATTATTGTGTCAATTAAATGTATTTTCTCCCCGTTCCCTTCCCTCTCTTTAGCCTTAGACTTTTGATTTCAGTGGTATTCCTACATTCTTCTGCTTTCAGGTGGCATTCTATTCATGGGTAGGGAAGTAATCATTCAATTTCTGATTTCCAGAAAGATACGTACTGGTTACCTGATTCCTTTACTTGGTAAAAGTGTATTGTTTTTAAATTTTGCAAACAGTTACAGTCTTTCGATTAAGTTACTCATTGAGATCTAAAATGTGTATGTACTTATAATAGAGTTTGTAGTAAGTTTTATCTATTTAGACCCCATTAATAATCCTGGGTTCAATTTGTAGACCAACCTAAACAAGTCAGGCATGGTGGGGTATGCCTATAGTCCTAACTCCCCAAGAGACTGAAGCAGGAGCATAATATAGTGAGACATCACCAAAGAAATTTCTTTGTCTCTTTCTGTCTGTCTGTCTCTCTCTCATAAAATATCACTACTAATAATTTAAATTTCCCAGGGTCCATTGTGTTAGTTCAGCTTATCTCTGGATCATTCTGCAATCACAACTCATTCATCTACTATAGGGGTATCATATTCTAAAAGCATGCAGTGACTTCTGGCCACAGAATAACAGTAGTCTTCCACAAATACAGTATTATATGTTCTTCTATAGGTAAGTACATTGGATTTAAACTACCCCAGTGATTTCAAAATTTAATGTGTCAATAAATAACCTGGCTTTCTTACTGACATACGGATTTTGATTCAGTCCATCTTGGGCGGGGCCCAAGAGTTTGTATTTTTGTTTGTTTGTTTATTTACTTTTAAGTTTTTAACATACAATCACTGTGTGCCATGACAGCATTCTAAATAAAATTTCCCATCATGAATGCATTGTATATTGGTTCAGTCTAATGCATTATCATATACATTATCATCAACAGATAATTTTCCAGTTTTGTATCCTTTAAATGTTTTGCTTCTTTCTTTTTCCCCTGAGTCTGTATTTATAGTAAGCTTCCAGATGATGCTAATTCTGTGGTTCAGTGCAACACACTTTGCTCTACACAAGGATCTTCAGAACATTGCTGTGACCTTGAATTCACACAAATAAACTAAGCTATCTCATTTCAAGCTTTGAGTCTAATTTTTGGGTTTTGGAGTCAATATTAACTTAAATTCTAATTTGTAGGTATTTGATGCCATAGGAATTTAATTTTTTGTTGCATTTGTCTGCATGTATATTGAATTTTTCAAATAATATTTGCAGTCTGATAATTCTCATGCTTTGCTTGAATTTATCTATCTAGATGATACTTTCCAAAAGAGAAATGATGTGACAATAAAATACAAGCATGGATTTTAAACCAATGTCATCCGGTCTTGTCTTTCTGTGACAAGTCTTAAGATTTAAAGTACAGTGGAATTAAAAAAAAAATACCTTTGATTCTTCTAGTAGTATACTATAGTTCAGGAGCAGTCAAACCAGTATTTCACTGCAAATCTCTTCCTTTAAATAGCACTAGAAGCTGGGGAAAAAGCATGCAATATTAAAAATATGACAAGAAGAGAAGAGAGGAAAGAGAAATGTCAAATTGTGAAAATATGTTTTTAGTGGAAAAGAAACATGTTCTCGGTAAGGGTACACCGTGTTGGACTTCTACACTGCAATGCAGATAAACTAGGTATGAGAAAGATCCTGCTCATAATTAATTGAGATTATGAACTTCTGGATCTTTTTTTTTTTTTAAACTCAGCACATTGATACATTTTTAAAATATAAAAGTCTTTAAGAAGAAAAAAAAGATACCCTTAGCTGTCATCATTTCTTCTGCCTGTAATTCTAAACAAGATGTGAGGGAAATAGAAACCCAACTGAGTCTTATAAAATTCCATTAGATATGACAATAGAGGGATTAGATGATTTCTTCTCTTCTTTTAAATTTTTAATTTTGAAATCATTGTAGATTGTTAGAAGATTAGCAAGAGTAATACAAAGTTTTTATACACTTATACTGAACTTCCTCTAAAATTAATTTCCTATATAGCCATGATGTGCTTCTTCGAAACTAAGAAACTAACAGTGGTGTAACACTCTGAACTAAACTACAGACTTCATTGTTCACTAATTTTTTCAGTAATGTCTGTATTCTCTTTGAGAATTCAACCCACTTTACTGCATTTATTCATTATGTTTCCTTAGTCTCTTCCAAACTATGACAGTTTCTTGTCTTTCTTTGTTTTAATGTTATTCATAATACTGAATAGAGGAGGGAAATATTATGCGAACTGTTCCTTGGTTTGAGGTTTCTCATTGTTAGTCTTGGATTATGGATTTTTAAAAAAAAAAAAAATGTAGCTCACAAGTGAAGTCGTCTTATTTTCACACCTTAACAGGCAACCTTATTATTGGAGATATAAAACTGTATTACTAATGACATGGTTAAGATGGTCTTTGTCTATTCTTCCACTATGAACTTTTTTTTAATTTATACATTATAATAATAAACGAGACACTAAATTCAGACCACCCTTAAAAGAGGGACAATTAAGTTTCACCTCAAAAAAGGAGGAATGTGTTCTGTATTTCAACTCCCATAACTCGGTAATAAACTTTTCTCTAGCTGTCTTCAAATTCTATCATTGCAACAATATGAAAATTATATACTTAGGTGTCTATTTTATATTTATCCTACTTGGTTTTATGTGAGATTTCCAGATTATGGTTTTATACTATAACTAATTTTGGAAATAATTGTTTCTTCCAATAATTTTTGTCTTTGGTTTTCTATTTGGGCATTATCTATTGAGCCATTATTATTATTATTATTATTTTATTGTTTCTAGTCTGCGGATGAAACATTCAAAGGTATTCTTTATCCCTGTTACCGTGCTTTGATTTCTAACATTTCCAATCTAACTTTTTCTTATCTTTACTGAAATGATCTACTTTGTTGTCATGGATTTACATTTTCCATGTATAGTCTTTACTAATTGTGCCCAGGTTAACTTCTTTACCCAAAATCCCCAAGATTTGTGTCTCATGTAAATCTTAATTTAGTAGATGTTTTGGGTCTTTAGACTGTGTTCTTGCCTTTTCATCTGTACTATACATTTTTTTGAAGCTTGATATTTGTATAGACTGTGAACATGGATGAATATCATTTTCATGTTTGGAGATGAGCATGCCTTTTCTTTCTGGTAGGACTTAAGTTATGCAGGATTATGTTCACGTAATCAGAAGTTAGCTTGGTTGGAAATTTGTTGTTTCTATACTTAACCTCAGTGGACCAGAGATTTTAATTTTTCTATTAATGCCTTGTTTTTTTATGGTATTGGCTCATTTTCCAGATTTTTTTTCTCTGTTGGATTCTACTTCGGTCTTCCTTTGCTCCTCAGAGAGATTATATGTTTTGGCTGTATCTTACTGTCATTATTACCTGATAATTGTTAGTGGAAGTGGAGGATAGGTAGTGCATTCTCTTGTTCGGATCAATGTTAGGGATTCTAAATGAGGCAATTCACCTTGATCTTGATCCTCTCAGGGACATAGTCCACAGAAGTATCATTGCTTCTCTCCCATCATTTGAATGAACCTGAAAGGTATTACTGTTGCTCCCCTAGGATAGAGCTTATTTACATAATCTCCTAAAGCAGCTGTGAATGTCCATTAGGCTTTCCATTTTTATTTCTCTGCCTCCTACAGATTAAGACTTTTGTTCTTTAGGAGATAGAAAGCAAATGCATTTGAATCTGGGTAGGGTTTTTCTTCCTCATTTCGGTATGGAAGCTTTAGACCAGGGTCCTCAGGCTACAGTTATTATATTCCTTCTAAGGGCTCTGTCTTGTTTTGTCTTGTCTTGTCTTTTCTTTTCTTTTCTTTTCTTTTCTTTTCTTTTCTTTTCTTTTCTTTTCTTTTCTTTTCTTTTCTTTTCTTTTCTTTTCTTCCTTTTCTTTTCTTTCCTTTTCTTTCTTTTCTTTTATTTCTTTTCTCTTCTCTCTTTTTGTATTATTTTATTGTTGTTTTCTTTTCCTTTCCTCTTTTTTCTTTTCTTCTTTTCTTTCTTTTATTCCCTAACCTCTCTTTTACTGGAGTGCAGATAAGCAGTAGCTCTACAGGAGTTCTGTAGTGGTTGGAATGGCTGATGTTCTTTGTTTAGCCAACAACAACATGTGTCTACCTCCTGGCAGCCTCTTCCAATTTCTAGTTATTTTGGAATTTGAACCTCCTTCAATTCTTAGATAAGCTACAGAAATTTATTAATTTAAAGTTTACGCAGTGGTTTTGTTATTGTAAAAGTGGGAGGGATACTCTTTTCAGTGCTATGTCTCTGAGCTAAAATTGGAAATGAATTATCTACTTTTAAACTTGAGAGATAATCTGTTTGGAAGTATACTTTGATACAATTTATTACTTTGTAGTAAATATTGGCAATATATGATTCCAAAAATCAGGCATGTGTCAGAAACAGTCTTTTCCAAATCATCTCGGTTTCTGCTCCATGAGTTATGAAATACATAGGACTCTCCTAAGTATTACTTGGAAAATGTAAAAGAGGTACATTTGTCAAATTCATTTGGGAAAATGACTGCTTGAACCCTATAACACAAATTTTTATTACTATAAATTTCCTAGCATTTAATATGTAAATAAGTGTAGTAAACAACAAGAGTATGTTCTCAAACTTATTATGTAACATTTTCTCTTCTCTCAAAATACCTGAGAAGTTAATTTTAGACAGGAAGTGCTTTGTAAAATGTGTCCAGCTGACTTAAGTAACATGAAGAGCAGTCTTTACTCTCTCATTTCCACATTGTGCTTCTTCATATGCACCTCTGCTTTACTTTGACTTTCTCCTCTGATTAGAACTGAAATTTCAGGGCTGGGTGACATCTGACACCTGACACAGTGCCTTCTAGGAGCAGGCTAAGGCAATAGGGAATGGTTTTTAGAGACTCAGTGGTTAGACACCATAATCGTTAATTATCTGGCTTTACCTAAAGTTGACCAGAAAAAAATAACCAAGCTATTATGTCTCTTTTTTTTGCCTTTTTTTTGAGACGTTTTCACTATAGGGCACGTGCACTTGCCAGAGAGAGAGAGACATAGAGACAGAAAGTGAGAAATCACCCCCCCGGGGGGATGGCCACGCTGCAATCCCTTCTCCTCCATTCTCCTCTTGGGATCTTGGGCACACACGCGCACGCACCCGGCATGAGTTCTAAGCCACCGGGTCCAGGACACAAACCACGGTCGACTACATGGGAGTCCAGCGACATAGCCATTACGCTAACTGCTGGTTCCCAACCAAGCTATTATGTCTTATATGAGAAAGTGATTGAAAAACACAGCATTGACAATTGAAAGGGAGTGAATATGTCTTCCTTTTATTGAACCAATTCATTTTTCCTGGCTAGATCATCTGGAAGTATGCATGTATGCTATGGATCTCTTTTTGACAAAACCCAGCAGTGTGCATTTTTATATTGATCATATTTCTTACTATTTCTTAGCCATTTAGTTGTAGTAAAGTCAATTTTTTCTAGGCTTTGATATTTGCAATAGAAGAAACATGTTTCTGTTTGTTTGTTTGTTTGTTTGTTTGTTTGTTGTAGGTGCATAGGTCAGAGACACCTTCATTTCACTTAAGAAATGCATGAGTAAATCGGATTTAAAAGATGACCAACCAGTGGGGGTGGGGGGGAAGCATACCAGTGTTGTGATGGTTTAAAATATCATTTCAGAATATTTTTGTTGTTGTTGTTGCCCCATGGAGGTCCAGAAGGCTTACAGTCAAGTTTTTGTCTCAGCAACCCAGGAAGTAGGGAAATGCTTAACTAATGGTTAAGTGTTTGTTGCTCAGAGTTATAAATAGTCTTTTTATAGTCATCATTTCTTTTCAAAATTGTTTCCTGCAAATGTCAGTTCAATTAACTGGTGGACAAAGAAAAAAAAAAAAAAGTCTAGTGCTCAGGTTCTTTTTGTTTTATTAAATCGGTTGTTTTCTATAGAGAAAATAAATTGTAGGTTGTATTTTATGGTCACTTCTGAAGCATTTTGAAGATGTCACATAGACACGGTCTCAGGAGAATTTCTTTCCTGGTTTAGACTACCTCTGTAGTTGGCTGTGCAGTCTGCTATTACTTTAAGAGTGTGTAACTTTTGAGTCAGAGGTGCCTATGGCATGAAAAGCCTGGGTTTCCCTCAGGGGATTTGTCACACTTTATTTAGCTCAAGCGTGGACTCAGAAACCTGGAAAATGTACTCTACTTGGCAGCCCAGCATTTTTTGCAAGTAGTAAAGTTCAAGCTATCAAAGAACTTTTCAAGGTGACAATTACATAACACAATATATGACCTTTACAACAAGATTTAGGCTGGGAGATCTATGCTGAAGGGTTTCCCTCCTGCTGGTATATACCCTGCATGTTCTCTGCCTCCTCTCTTAAGCATACAGTTTGGACAAAAAAAAAAAAAAAAAAGGCAGTCTGGTTATATGTCAACCACTTATTCTATGCCATTCTATCAT